TGAATGAAATTCCTAGGTAACATCGCCGTCTAGCTAAACAAGTTTGTTGGGTATGGCAACACATAATTTCTCACCATCAATATTATGCATCGTTTTGACCACTCTTGTCTCCATCGCCGGAGCAAAAGTCCCGGCGATTATAGTCTTCGGCGACTCTTCCGTAGACTCCGGCAATAACAACTTCATACCAACCATGGCCAGAGCCAATTTCGAACCTTACGGTCGTGATTTCCCCGGCGGTCGCCCCACCGGTCGATTTTGCAACGGCCGTCTCTCCTCCGATTTCACTTCCGAAGCTTATGGCCTTAAACGGACCGTACCGGCCTATCTCGATCCGTCCTACAATATATCGGATTTCGCTACCGGAGTTTGCTTTGCCTCCGCGGGTACTGGCTATGACAATTCAACCGCCGATGTGCTTGTAAGGCCTCCTTCCATTTCAACAAAATGACCTATTTCCGATTGGTTTCTTGTGTTACAAGTAACGGCGAGATGTTGTTGTGTTTTATGTTTTAGGGCGTGATTCCGTTATGGAAAGAAGTCGAGTACTTCAAAGAATACCAACACAAACTTGCCGCCTATCTCGGCCACCGGAAAGCCGACAATATCATCAGAGGATCTCTGTACTTAGTCAGCATCGGAACCAACGATTTCCTTGAGAACTACTACACATTACCAGACAGGAGATCACAATTCAGCATCAGTCAATACCAAGACTTCCTGATTGGCATCGCCGAGGTTTTTTTAAAGGATCTTTACAAACTCGGAGCTCGGAAAATGTCTTTCACCGGAATCTCTCCGATGGGATGTCTACCACTTGAGAGAGTGACGAATCTTAACGACCCTTTTAGCTGTTCTCGAAGTTACAATGACTTGGCTATTGATTTCAATGGGAGATTGAGGAGATTAGTGAGCAAACTGAATAAAGAGCTTGTTGGAATGAGGATTTACTTTGCTAATCCTTATGATATCATTTGGGATATTGTTACCAAACCTGATCTTTACGGTCTAGAGGTGTCTAGTTCTGCGTGTTGCGGCACGGGATTGTTCGAGATGGGATTTCTTTGTGGTCAGGACAACCCGTTAACTTGCAGTGATGCAAATAAGTACGTTTTCTGGGACGCTTTTCACCCGACCGAGAAGACTAATCAGATTGTGTCTAATTACTTCTTCAAGCATCTCAAGAATCTGTTTCATTGATCCCAAATTCTTATTTAATTTCTTTATGAGTATATTTAGCCAGTTCAATTTCGAAGATTATAGATTTGAATGGAAGTTGAGAAAAAAAAAAGAAGATGGAAAAAAACAGTGAAATGACTGGTTTCTTGAGCTACAAGAATCAGACAAAGGTATTATTTTATATTGTTTTTGTAAACTTTATTGTTTTTTTTTTTTTTGGGGAAACTTTAATCTAATAATGCAAGTTTTTTTTTGTATGTTTCACATGCTTCCATTTAACTTGTGATTCAACCTGCAAACTATATATTTCGTAAATGTATAGTAATGTCATATATTACTATATAGTATTATTACAAACTTATAAAAGAGAAACAATGGTTTATTTTATCCTAATTTACAAAAAGGCCCAAAAAACAAAGACAGAAGGAAAATTATTATTAGGGCTTAGTGTTGTTGCCATCTATAACAGATCTAAGTTCATCCCAACTCGCTGAGTCTCCGATGAAATCTCCACCATTGGTGTTCCAAAAAGTCAGGAAGTTGTTATCATTACATGTATATGTCGGTTGATTGAAATTAACCGTATTTTGGTTCCAATAAGGATTTTGCGTTTGCGGTTGAGGCGGTTGCGGCTCGTGTAGCTTGTGATACAAGGAATCTACGACGTGGTGGCTGGTGTGATCGGAATCTAAGCTGCTTGTTTTAGAACACGAGTCGGTTAAGGTGATAACCGGTTTTCGGTTTGGTGGTACAATGGTAGGGTTTCTTTGAAGTGTGACTCGTTTGAAGATTCTACATAGTGTCCATACCTCCTGTGGAAAACAAGAGAGATCTATTTAATTTATGTTTCCAACTGTAACATCTGAAAGCAATTTATGTTGCGTGATGCATTTATATATATTATGAATCTATGATTATTTAAAATTTTATCAAGAAAATTCAAAAAAAAAAAACCATAACTGTCTAGTGTCATTGACTAAAATCCGAATTCCACCAAAGAAATTGGATTTCAAACCATTTTTCTTGGATTATATATATCATTTTTTTTTTGGATGAACACATTTTGGCCTTCGTAAATGTTATAAAACGGTTGTAAGAAAAAACCAATAAAAATTTAGTCTACAGTCTACAAAAGGTTGGGCCCATTGTGAGGAAAACAAAAAAATAGTGATATTTCTCAATAGCATGTGTGGAAATGTGTATTCGTGCTGACTTTTTAAATCATTTAATTAAAACCACAAATCTAAGAAAATTGTCTCACTAAAAATGGACAAGATGGTTTAGCCTGATGCATACCTTTCTTGCTTAAATAAACCGGTTTATATTTCACAAAAACAATTTGGATTAATAACAGAAAAAGGAGAAATGTTCAAAGAAAACACTCACAGCTTGAGCTGGCGAGTCGGTTTTTGTGGTAGAGGGGAGGCGGAATTCATGCATCATCCAATCGGTTTTGGTGCCTTTACCGGCTGAACCAAGGTAGTAAACCAGGGATTTCTTGAGACCAACACACTCAAGATTGGAGTAAACCGGTTTATCAATACCGGTAGCTTTCCAAAAACCTGAACCAGTGACCCGGTTTGGTCTGACGCTATTCCTGTATTTCCTGCCTCTCATACAGAAAAAGTACCATTCCTTTTCCCCGACGCTGCTCACTCCTAATAAAATCCACAATTCCTTTTACTTTTTAGTATATGAAAGTAAGATTGTATCATTACAACAAAAATAGGTGCAATTGTATCATATACAATTTTTATTAAAAAATAAATTTCATCATATAAAACCAAAAGTGACCGCCGTTTTTTTTCTAACTTTATATAGTCTCGCATTTACGAAGTTTTAGTTGACTATCAAGAATTTCAATTCAGATTTTGATTTTTAAATATGGTAAATTAAGTTTTGACTAATACGCGAGGGTGTTCAATCCAAATTTATCTAGGTTTGGTTTGATACTATTTATATTGGATTCTTAACCAAAGTTTATTTAGAAGAAGCTAAAAAAATAGTTATAATCCAGTACCTATGTTTTGGATATTTAGATATCGAAATTGAAACCGAATCGATTTTCTTTAGCTCGATCA